CTCTCCCCTGCCCGTACCGGTTGGCGCTGTCGTCCAGTGTCCTCTCCAGCCACTGCACGGCGGCGGTCTGCAGGGGGTCGGACAGCAGGGTCATGAGGTGTCGGGCCAGACTGCAGCAGCGCTCGCTGCGCATGGGATTCCTCTTGTAGGGCATGGCACTGGAGCCTGGGGGGAGGAGAGAGAGGATGGAGAGATGGAGAGAACAGGGAGACAGACACATGAGAACTCCACACGGTCACAGAAAACACATGCACTAACAAGGTAGACAACCCTGGATACGGTCACAGATGCAAATCAGACACCCTCTGCACCCCAGTTTCACTACCAGTTCTGGGCTCTCGTGCAAGCGGACTTCGGAAGAGAAGCTGAACCAATCGTTATTTCCCCCGTCTGGGGAAACTCGCTCCGAACACAGTCGGAATCCAGACACCTCTCTAGCGCTGCTCAAACCCCGGAACGGACGTCCGCTGCAATGCGATGGGAGTCTAGCTCATCCCCCCCGGCTGCAGGGCCTCACCGATCTGCTCCTTCTCAAAGGGCTCCTCGATCTCTTTCAGGTTGGCGAGGAGACGGATGTCAGTGCAAATCTGAGGAAAAGCGAACAGTAAAGCTTCAGTTCAACTCCGGCTAAGACCACACGAGACCCAGCCATCATTTATTAAAGGATAGGACTGCTGAGCGGTTCAACCAAGAAACAGGCCTGCCAGCTTTTACCCCTTTCAAGGGCACAACTTCGAGGCACTGCAGTTACATGGAGCAACCAGCGGGTGGCGATGTTCCCTATGGGAGAATCTCCTCACCTTGTGAACAGTGGCGCCTAGGCTGGCCAGCGCCGCCAGCGAGTCTATGTCCACTTTGCGGCTGTACGTCTGTCCGGTCACCAGGTACGCCCTGCGGGACACGGGGACAAACACAGTCTCCATTTGTCTGCTGGAGTCGTCTTCTCCCTTATCCAGGCACAATCCGGGAGATTCTCTCCGACTCTGCCCTTAGGTCCGTTAGAAGGAGTACCGGTCTTGCTCAGCCAGAACAGGGCTTCGCCGCCAGGTAACAGCCGCTGTCTCGAAGGGGAGCGCTTACTTTTTGAAGCCGGCCATTTCCGTCACCAGCCTGTCCAGCTCTTCCACCTGCGAGAGCGTCAGGACACCAAAGTTAAGGCCTGAATTCCAGGTTTCACCCTCTCCGTGTCCCCGCGTCGGTCTCCGGGACCCGAGCCCAAAGCCGCCCTGAACCGCCTCGGCCTCAAAAACGGCTTCCCCCGGTCGCCACGGCGGCGGCG